TAAGCGCATGCTCGCAGCTAAATTCAGAGCGGGAAGAATGGGGAGTAGTTAAGTTTGGATCGAGCCCCCCCATCGCGGCTTCGCTACTCGCGAAATTCCCTCGCATTTTGGTTATTGGGCTTCCCCGCCGAAACAAAGTTTTCGTGCGCAAATTCTGGCCAGCTACGAAGGCTAAAAACCAATGTCTCGAGTTTCCACTTTTAACTTTTGATTCTACTCTCTTGATCATGATTTCCAGCAATAGAAGGCCGCTGACCTGATAACGCATGACTTTTGGTGGATTTTTGATAAGGTGGTTATTACCTAATGTACCTAAATTTTTTATCCATTTTAAGTTTGCATTTGTTGGATATCAGAAATATGCTTGTTCCTTTTAGTCATACCAAAGTTTTGCTAATTTACAAATCAAATTTCTTTTTGTCCCGGATAATCGGACAGAGGTTTTTTATTCAAGTTTCTGCGACCTGCGAATGTTGCATTCTAGCGCGCTTCAGGGGAATTAGTAGAAGTAATCGTATGAGTGCGAGTCCAATCAGGGATTTACACTACCAGTGATATTTGAAAATTCTCTCCAAATTTCACGAGCCTTTAGGTGAGTGCTTTTTTAAAGAATTTTCAAATGTCACAAGTAGTGTTAATCCTTAATTGCTTGAGCTTTCACACGATTACTCATTTTATCATATGACTGAGAAAATTGTGAACACACTCGCGTTAATTTGCACTGCAGAGCAAATTAAGAATTAACTATGAATTGACCCGCTCTCCGCCAATCACAAGGAAGTAATTTTCTCAGGAATATAATAAATTAGAATATGAACTATTGAACTATGGTGTGACCAAAGTCCTCGTGATATGCTGCCAAAGCGTGCCTAAAGGGCGTGTTTAGGTGTAGGTATTTGTAACTAACCTTCCATGTTTTGTAATCCTTGTGATTCAAGACCCTTATCTTTGCAGCAGAGTTCGTGGAAGATGAACTCTCTGAGCCTGACGGGGATTCATTAGCAGGAGATTTTGATTTGAAGGAAAACAGCTTACTGTCGCGGAAACAAAACAGAAATACAGCCACAACATCAGACCGGATTACGTTGTTCGACAGGTAGATAACGCTAAGCGTGGTTTGTTTGGTTAACACTTATTTACTGGATAGTGATTTATCCGGTGGTGAACGTTATCCAGTCTTCGAACAACCGGAGTCAGAACAATGCCAATGGTAGTTGTAGTCCATCAAGTAGTTTTTAGAACTAGACTTTCGAGCAACTTTCTTTTAGATCTCTAGTGTCTACAGGTACCGTAATTACGTTTTTTGTGTCATATACGTAAGATGAACCTGGAAACTCTACTGGATGAGGGATGCCGTAGCTGCGATCTATGAAATAATTAATTAATTAGGTTTTTTAAATGCTTTTATTTTCATGAAACTTGTAAATAGACTAATTTTAAAGTTATTTTTAGGTTTTTGTAACCTGTAAATAGACCAAGTGTGAAATTATTCTTAGTTTTTGTAATTTCTTTTTAGGCAGGTGTCCTCTATTAGTACAGGGTTATCCCTAGACTAAAACAATTTCGACACATTAGTAAAGTTATTATATAATCTCTTGGTTGTTATCATTATCATCATTTGCATTTGCATTATTTGCATTTATTAACTACATTGACTACAAAATTTGAAATCTTAACGGTTGGTACCAGTACTTGTTTCAGATTTACGATGTTTGTTTGGAGCTCAAGCTTCATGTTTGAATTGAAATTAAGGTTTCATGACAACTGAATTTAACCACTACAGAAATCTACAACTGAAAACTATGATGAAACGGGGGAATAAAAACGTACCTAGGCAGTTTGAAAAACTCCTCCCATCGAGCTCTCTTGATGTGCTTTTTACAGTAATAGCAGAGACATTCACCTTCTGGATCAACAGGAATGCGAGGCAAATTATAAATATCTCGAATGGCCTGCAAGCCTGGTAACACGTCACGTGGCTTGATTCCTTGTGCCTTCTTCATCTTAATATCCTTCTGACGTTCCTGTTTTCAGAAATTTAAGAGTCTTTCAGTTGTTGTCCCTGTTAAAGGGTAACTTTTATACCCATGCCCGCTTCATTTTATACCCCCCCGCTACATTGGTGTTTACGTCGCCTACACTAAAACGATCGGCACTGACGCTAGCTAAGAAAAGATGAGCAAGTTAATGCCTAATTTTGTTCAAGGTATATGAGGTTTGTTTGTTCCTGTCACAGGCAAAAAGATATTTTTGAAATACGAGCACTGGCTCAAAAAAGCCTTTTATGCTACTGCAAGCGTAAATACTTCCAATTCTGACCTTCCATGTTTTGTAATCCTTGTGGTTCAACACCCTTATCTTTGGCTTGTTGCTAGTTGAAGCGCCTGTATCCACAGGGTTTGAAGTTTCGTCTTCCCATCGTACCTCACGCTTGGCCTTAGGCCTCATGGCATCTCTTGGCTGTGCGTGGCCTGTTGAGTAAAATTATGTCTTTTAAGTTCGTGCGATTTTTAAAAACTCCCATCCCTTTTGAGATGCTAAGATCCTTTTGCTAGTTTTCATCACTTCAATACTTTCTCTTTATTGCATAACCTAAGAGGGAGGAGGGAAGAAAAACGGCTGGGGTTTTACCATTCCCTCCCTAACTCCTGAAATCTGTTGAAGGATTGAGGTTGAAAGCTTTAAAGCTMTATGAATGTTGAYCACAAATTTGACAGGAGAAGAGTAATCATCACTATCAATTCTTCCTTAGAGGGGGAGGGAAGAGGACGGCTGGGGTTCTACCATTCCCTCCTAGCTTATTCCCGCATTTGTTGTGCGGTTGAGGTTGAGAGGTTGTGTGAATGTCAAACACAAATTTTACGTGAAAATTGTAATTAACGTCTTGATGTAACCAATAGCAACTTACCATCGTTGGACTTCTCGTTGATGACAGACGTTTCTTCGTTGTCCTTATCTCTTCCCATAATATCGAGGATATCATCACCTTTTGTTACATTTTTAATTTCTGCTTCCTGACTCGTGTAAATCACTTCTCCTGTAGACGACTCAGAATCAGATATCACCGAAGATTCCTCATCATCATCAACCCCCATCGTAATCATCATTTCTGCTTTGCGTGATTCTTTGCCGGCATCTTTCACCACTCGCAGCACTTCGTCTTGTGATTTCCAACTTGTGGAGGTACTTTCGCCCTCATCGTCCTTGGTTATCGCAGCTTCATTACGTACAGTAACAGCAACGGGTGTCTTACAGGAGCCTGTAGAAGATCTACTATTGGTCGCCATGGACACGTTTCGCGTGGATTCTTCTGAAGCGGTAGGCAGTAGAGAAAAGCCGGGTAAAGATGGGTGTGGCGACAGTGAAGACTCCGAGATTGTCTCTTCTGATGATGTAGATGGACCAACACTCGATTGAGTTGTAAACGGAAGAGAACTGAGAGCAGGTTTGTCTGTCAGATCATAGCTTGAAGCTGATGAATAGGTCACGGTTGGAAAATCACAAACTTCCGTCTCTGATGCCTGAGACATTGAAGACACAGATGTCAAAGATTCAGAGCGGGGTGTTTCAGTCGGTTTTCCAGTTGATAAGTCAGACAGAGATGATGTCGTGAATGAAGAATCCAAGGATTTTGTCTCAGGAATCTCATTAACCGTCCAAACATCTGTTCTGTTCGCGTCATCGAGTGAAGGATGAGTCATAATCGAAGTTGATTTTGATGTGTCGGTCAGTGTCCATATTTTCTGCTCTTGTGTCGGGTGATCAGGCGACTGATAAGATGAAGAGGCTGATTGTGGTCTTCCTAAAGATGTCTCTGGTGTGGTTCTTGAACAGGCATTCTTTGATGATTCCTTGTTACGCTTCAAGCCTGGTCTGTCAAAAATGATTCCCTTCTCGCTCAGCTCCTCATCAGTTGAAGGTAAATTTGATCCCAGTTCATGACGCCGTCGCCACCGCTTGTTAAAAATTCTCCTGCATAAAAAATGTGTGGAGGCTAAGAAACTTAATCTAATTGTAAAACCATAATCTAATTGTAAAATCATGATCTAATTATAAAATTTTACATTGATATTGAGACCTGGATATTACTGAGACTTTACTTTTTTATTGTTAGTTTAAGTCTTAGTTGAATACCGTTAAATGTACTAATAAATAAGTCTCTGTTATATGCTTAACTCGTTTAAGACTTTTAGTCAGGAGTCTATAAATTTTGCAACCACGTAACAAGAGTTTTGGCTCCTTCGTAATGTAAATCCATCAATACATACGCATGTCCATTGATTTTAATTGACTAAATTGTTACCAAAAGATGTTTGGAGAAATTTCAAAAAGTCTTCCTCTCTGTGTTGATCAGATAAGTGATTCTCCTGACTGAATGTTACACAGATGAGTTAATTCTACTTTTGAGAATTTAGTGGTGTATTAAAAATGAGCAAATAAATAAATATGTAATTTAATAACAGAATCTAAAACTTACCAAAGAAGTGGAACACCGGTGAAAATAAACAATAACATCAAAATCCCAGCCAAGATTCCTGCAACAGTGGCTGCCGATGAACTCGAATCTACTGGCTCTTCATTCACCGAATGTGATTTCTTCCTCTTGTTTTTGAAGTGCTTTCCTTTCTTTCTATCGTCTAACTTGACGGGATCGTAAGCCGCTTTCCAACGAAGCCCTGAAGATGCCTTTAGCCCAGGATGAACAGACATCTTGTGTTGTGGCATCGCTGATGTGCCGGTATGGCTTGTTGACCATTCGTGTCCAGTCACCCTTGGTTCACCATGAGGTGAAGAATAGTCCTCCTTATCATTAAAGTGTGAAGATTTCCGATCATCTTGTTGAGTAGAATTGTCAAATTTTGAAATCCAGTCTGATTCTGCATCAGCCGTATGGACTGACGGAATAACCGTTTCCTCAGTTGACAAAATCGTCAACCTGAAAGGCGCTGTAATATTCGTCTGATATGTTAAACCCGTGATAGATGATGGCAGATTTTTCTGGTACGTACATGCCTCCTTGTCTTTGCTGTCTTCCAAAATAAAAGCTGATGAAGGCATTCCAGTACCATGTGATGATTTTAAGACGTGATGTCTCCTTGCCAAGCGGCGCATGGCGAACTTAAGCTTTGGCATAGTTGAGACGTTTTTGATCTTGTCATCTGTAGTCCATAGTGTGGAATTTTGGGCGTTCTTCGACGCCGATAAAACTCTTCCATCCAGTGAGCCGATTCGTTCATCATCAGATGAGAATGAATCCGATGTTTGGCCGGGAAAATTATGTTGTCTGGAGCGAAGCGGTACATCAGCATGTATTGCTGAAAGATCCTTGAATCCGGTTACTCCAGTTGAAGACTCTGTGAATAGATGGTTAGGATCCTCTGCAACTGAAACAAGGCGACAGGTTGAATTAGAGGAGCTAGGTTATTGTTTCGCTCTTGAAAAGTTTAACCTAAATTCTTCAAGTTCGTCGTTTGTGATCCATTTTAATCTTCTCCATTTTTAACCATCCTTGTTTCTTTAGGGTTTATTATTAACTCTTTGGTGTTTTTCTCTATGGCTCTATGGCTATTTTCAGGGTTCCTTTAATTTAAAGGTAAGTTTTGTACGTGGCCAAAATACTGACTGGACTCCTTTAAGCGTGACATCCACATGATCGCTAAGAAAATTCGAAGAAAGTCGAATGTCCGGCTGCCTACCGAGCTGAGGAGCAAATTCATCTCATGTATCTTTAATACACCCTTTTTGTTTTTTTCGCTGTTGCAAAGATTGCGCGAAAGAGCGCTAGCTCTTTATGTTTAATAACGGAGAGAGAGCCTGATGTCAAATATCTTCGGTAAAATTTAAATGCTGTTCTGAGGCCACAGCCAACCAGAAAATGTTGATCACATTGGATAGAGTATAGCTGAGCTGGAAGAACTTGCTGTCGAATTCTGCAATTTTTTCAACCATTTGTCAGTAAAAGCAATGGCCCTACGAACGTTTACGTTTTTTTTTTTTTTCAGTTTTACCACTGCCCGGTTATTTTAGGTAATGCAAAAGATTTAGGCGAGATTGGTTCTTTCATAACTTATGATTTCTACTGCGCGATTAAAATTTCACGATCATATTAACGACGAATTAGATGCCTCATCAACTTGTCGGAACTATAGTTTTATACGTAAACTTTAAAAACTGCAAATTAAAACTGAGTACCGTCTTTTCTCGATTAAACTTCGGGTCCCGAATTAAAGCCCGGTCTTCCAGGCAGATTTGTAAAAAAGACCCTCAAGGAATTCATAATTGAGGTAAAACAAACTTAAGGTAGTATAAGATATTTAGCTCTGAAGAATAAATTAATGAATAAAAATTGTAAAAAAACTCCAGCCTCGAATACATTGCAAAAGTGAAATAAAGGCCAAATCAACGGAACTAAGTTTGAAATAAATGCCGGGGGCCTTTAATTGAGAAAATACGGTACTTCGTTTGTGTTTTCATCGACGAGAGGGCTGGAAACAAATTCCTTTAAAAATACGGTTTTTGTCTTGTAACGAAGCAAGAGAAAACTAGATTGCAAGACACCGAAAGTGTTGCTAACAAGCAATCAGAACGCTAATTTGAATTTGCGGCAACAGTTAAAGCTTATTTGTTCTTAAATAATTACTGCAAAGATGAATCTTACCTTCGCAAACCGTGTATGATACCAAGATACTCAATAGAATCACTCTGAAAGCTTTTTTCTTTTCCATTATGGCGTTATTGCTATCTCATTCAGATAACACAACACATGTCTCTACGAGAATGGTCAATTCACGTCACAAACGCTGTATAAGCGCGCGCGGCACAATGCACGCTCACTGTAACGCACGCACTACTAACAACACAAGTAACGCAAGCTGTTCATTGTTTTAAACGGTATTCGAAGTTGGATTTCAAATACACAAACAATACTAAAACGATGAAACAACGTTTATAGCTACTTATGCAAAGACGTTTCGACCGAACAACTTCGGTCTTCGTCGGTTTAAAAAGCCAGCTGAAATTACTGGCTATCTAACGGTTCACGGTTCTGCGCGTGCTACGCCAGCGAAATATAACGAGCGAACGCTGCGCGACATAACAAATCACGTCTGTGACTTGTAAATTTTTATCCGAATGTCGATTTAACAAATCGAATGTGGTTTAGCGTTGTCTGTACTCTTATCGACAACGATACGCGTCATCACAGTAGTCAAAATGTTGTGAACTCACGAGACGCAGCCGAGTGAGTCCACAACAAATTTTGATCACTGTGATGACGCGCATCGTTGTCGATAAGAGTACAGACCACGCTAAACCACATTTCGATTTGTTTTTTACCACAATATCAACGTCAAAGAAGATGTTTTTTCAGAGCGCGAGCAGAAAAAATGCATTGCGCGACACATTGACGAGGGCAGCGTTGTCTGGACTCTTATCGACAACGGCAAATTAGCCAATCAGATTGCGAGATTAGTAGCAATTGAGGTAAAAGTGTTCATTGCCCGCATTTCGGTCTCCCTGAGAATACCAGGCCTCGAGAAAAAGTCTCTTATGGTAATCACAAGCCTCGTCCACCACAGTGGCGGGTAACCGGTCGTTTCGCCTACAAGTTGTTTCGTCTTCAAGTCGATTCGCCTACATCGAAGACGTTTCGCCTATGCAATCGAAGTCGATTCACTAACATTACAATACTACTTTACAATACTAAAAGGCTAAAAAGTTTTCAGATCTAAAAATTGACAAATAGGTTTACAATAATTATAGTGATGTTTTTCGGAAGAGTATTCCACTGCGACGGCGCGGCTATGCTGAATGCTGTGTGTCAACAAACGATCTAATAGACTTGAAGATCACCAACAGGAAGAGTTCACGTACCAAAAAAAAGAGAAATAAACTTCATCTTTAACTTGAAATGATACGTGTGTATGTGCGTACTTTTTCGTTGAAGCGAGAAGTCATTTTTACTATTATGTTGAAGCAGCCCGTGTAAGGTGAGTGGGATTTTTTTCTGCTTTGTTGTCAACTTCTCTATTGTTCGGACTTGTGACTTTCTGAACAATAACAGCTAATTACAGTGTAGTAATTACAGTGTACTTCACTGAAATAACAAAACACATACAAAATTGTATGTGTGCAGTTACGTCACAACATGGCGGCTGACATTTCTGCTTTTTGAAGTAGCCGGAAGAAAAGATGTTCCAACTGGCAGCCTTTCAACTTCGAAAAGTGTTCACGGCTTTTCGATGCTCTCATCAATTTTGACAGGAAAAATTCTTTTTTCTTCCTATTTTTTAACAAATCTTTATATAGTAGCGGAGTTCATGTGCCTCAAAGGCGTACGAGCGGAGCCCCATACCTAATCCGGGTAAACAAATTTGGTTGTCACGTGATTGTCCGTCCGTACGCTTCTTGCGCAAATTTACAAGCTTTCAAGGTCTTGTTTTCGTTCATAACACAGATAATTACCTCCTTTAATTTGGCCTTAAAATGGAAAGAAGAAACACCAAGCAGTGTTTAAAAGGATAGTCATGTTAACCCTGCTGGTGAAGATTTCTCTTTGCTTTCGATGGTCACAAAGAGATGAAGCTCAACAGGGTGTTTTCACATGACGTCACGGCAGCCATATTGGTGGTCCAAAACAATGATACGGCGGCCATGTTGGTGTACCAAACCGATGCCGTGGGAGTTGAACTCTTTTCTTATGCAAACACTTCCTTTTGTTGCAAACATTTGCTTTGCTGCTGGCCACGTGAGTGAAAACACTCTATGGGTGTTCAACTGTATTTTAGATCATTTGGTGTTATCAACTGGGTTGATAATGTAAATTGGCCACCGTAACGAGATTCGAAATCTTTTGAATCTCTTTACGGTGGCCAATTCACATTATCAACCCAGTTGATAAAACCAAATTATCTTGTTATACTCCCCACCGACGCAGCACCACAGTTTCTTTAGAAACTTACCGCCTCTATTCATTTGTATTTTGGATCGCCGATTTTAGAGTGACCACGGAGGGAGGAGGTAAGGGGTTGGTTTGGCTATAGCCCCTTACATGGGTTGATTTTTTCGGGCTCCAGGCGAAATGGATAATATCTGAATTTTACCACTTTGAAATAACAAAACAACGAAAACAAAAATATGAGTGTTCAACCGGCATTTGTTACTTTCAAAGGGTTAGGAAAACAGTGAAATCCATAAACAGTCAGAATTGGGACAGAGTACCCTTTACGTTGAAAACACGTACCCTCATGTTTTCATTTCTGCCATATGACCAATGATGGGTAAGGGGCAATATGAGATTTGTAGTTGAGAAATCTTTTCGCCAAGCTCTCTTCATTCTCGTTTCCCTACAATGCAAGTGTGAAGTGTCTTGCCAGTGATCTGATCTGGAGTCTTCGACCATCTTAACCATGAGGTTGCATTTTCATGAAAATTCAACCTGCAGGTTTTGTTATTATAATCCTCAGTAACAAATATAAAAGTAGTCTCACAGGAAACTGTTTTCATGAATGTCTTTTTTAGTAATTTTGCAACTCTTTTTAATTGCACTTTAAAGCTTAAACCGTTATGATGCTGTAAATCTATTGCTAGAACTACATCTAATACAATTCTAAGTTGTTTAAGGTAAAGATTCCATCACTATAACTTTAATAAATAACAATGTAAAAAAACACTTGAAATAATGTCTGCAAAAAGTTCCCTAGGTCTACTAAAAAGACCAACACATTCACATGAAATTTCTATTTCTCCCTGAAATATACTTGCTATCAAGGCTCACCGGAGTTCAAAAATAATTTTTGTAAGCCAAAAATAACAGACCATACACCTGTCAATGACTTCTCTTACTTGCTATTTCCAAAAAATGAATAGAATTCTAAGACAGTGAAGCCTGAATGAAGGATGTTCAATAGACCTTTTTAGCTTGGGCAGTTGGCTGCCCCATTCCGGAACATTTAATGAGACTCAAAAATTCTTGCAGTGAACTTTTCAAATAGTCACATGTATATGAATGAATAATTTTTTGATGGATAAAAAGAAAAATTCCCTATAGAATATCGCGTGGTCTGTAATAGTGGCAAAACAAACCGCCCAAACAGAAAAGGCCTATTGTTTGGTCATACATGAAGTTTCTGGGTCTTCTTAAGAAAGCTTGACCCAATATATTTTGTGAACCACAAAGAAGATTAAAAATCACTTGACCACTTCTTGGAAGCTGCCTTTCCAACTCACAGCACAATCCCAGTTTAATGAATTCCAATAGAATGCACAACTTGATGAAAAACGATTCTAGTGGTACAGTTATGTCAACAGATTTTGACTGGACTTCTTAGGAAGAATAATAAATTAATGTTGTCCAAACCAAACTGTCAAACTAATTGAAAATTTTAAATGAGACAAGTGAACATTGACATTGCACCTTGCAGCACCTTGCTTTGAGCACGATAAGTGATCTCACTAGATACAGCTCAAGATCAACAGTTTATATTGATTAGGCAAATTACTGACAAAAACAGTTGCATTGCTCTCAGATGGACACCTGGTATAACAAATTATATTTTGATGTAAGAAAGGTTCACAAATAATAACCAAAATCTAATGCAATGAACAAAATGCTCAAAACCAAGCAAGTTCATTAAACTGGGGCTGCGTTGAGTGTTATCAAAAATCCACATTCTAAGACTTTAAATTCATGCATTACGAGAAAGTGTGTGATGTCAGTCAGCATCTGTCCTGTCTGTTAACAGCCCTGGGGAACTCCCATACGAAAAGGTTGGAGATGTATAGTGTCTCACTTGGGGATATAAATCACAGATTCTGGTTTCACTTATGGTGTTCGTGACGAAATGCCACAATTGTAAGCTGTCAAAATATCTTTTAGGGTGCACTCTAAGAAATAATAATAAAAGAAATGCTATTTTTCCATTTATAGGCTCAATTCCCTCAGGTCTCTCGAGTCCGATCTGCTAGCACTGGGTCCTTTCCCGAACAGCAGCTAATAATTGAGCCTATTCCATTTTAAGTGTTATTTTTTAGATCAAACAGAGCTCAAGCCACACCCCGATTGGTCTTTGTTAGAACAAGCATTGCCAACCTTTTCAGATGGGAGTCCCCCCCTGGGGTTAATGGTCAGTTGTAGGATTGAATGCTATTACTTGTCCAGGGAGAGAGATTCGTCATCTTCAGCACTATTGTTACCAGACACAGGTGACTGAGCTGGAATTAAGAGGAGCAAAGATGTGAGAAAGAGGAAAGACAGTGGTTACAGAAGCAGTTAGTTCACCAAAATTAAATTAACATAACAGTACTGACTAGCCTGAGTTACAGATACAATTTATCGCCAGTAAATGATCTTTTTTGTGCAATGCAGACTACATGAGAATTACTTAACTTAGCCTTAATTATATTCATTGTGATTAAATGGAAATTATATTTGTGACACACTTTGGGGAATTATCAAATTAACAATCAGTATTTTACCAAGGAAGGCTAACATTGGGGAAAAAAAATTACATTTCCAGTGGACAGACCTGTTATGCAATGCTTTGATGTAAAAAAAACTATAGTCATGTTTTGAGAAGTACAAAGCATTATGAAAGCATGTTTATAAGCCCAGTGGCTCATCAGACCAGCATTTGACCTGTCAGTGTCCACAGCATGGCATGAAGTAATTCAGGACATTTTTAGTCACTGGTAAAGAGAAAGGAAATAAGATGGTCGAGAAGGGAAACTAGTGTCCTCCTATCTCATAGCGACATACAGAATGACTCTGTCTCATGATGATGATGATAATGATGATGAAACTTTATTAACATTTCAGTAATGTAGCTGAGAGAAAGTCCCCTCAAAAGGAAGAAATAAAGAGAAATACTTGAGTTACTGTAGCTGTGGGAGGCGCAGTTTTCACATGTTTAGTGCGCTCACCTCTGGATTGAGCGGTCTGGGTTTGAGCCCTGGCCGGTGATATTGCATTGTGTTCTTGGCCAAGACACTTTGCTCTCACAGTACCTCTTTCCACCCAGGTGTATAAATGGGTACCGGCGAACTTAATGCTGGGGGTAACCTTGCGATGGACAAGCATCCCATCCAGGGGGGAGTACAAACACTCTTTTTCACTTCATGCTACAGAAACTGGGATAAGCTCTGGCCTAATGGGCCCCTCGAGTCATATGCAGACTTTACTTTTTTTACGTACTTGAGTTAGCTAGAAGGACACTTGAAGTGCTTTAGGTCCTAATGGTTTACGTGCGATAATTAGAGAAAATTGTCTGAACATGCATGTTAAAGTTGCAAGACCAGAAACATTTTCCCAAAAATACTTGCAAGGAGAATTAAATATGGTATGAAACTTATTTAGGGAATTGTTGATATTGATTAACCTAATGTCTGAGACATAAAAGCAGTTAGTTATGTAAACGTCTGATACAAGTTTTACTGTAGAGCTGTTAGATGAAGAACAGTTACAATTATTTCAGTCTTTGAGAACACATTTACAACGATGGCAGAGGCAGTTCCAAGACAGTCAAATTCTGATTAATTGAACAAGGAGGAAATGGCACAAAAACGTAATCAGATTTCACTATGGCAGTGTTTTAAATGTTCTTAACACTTACTCTCCTGGCTTATCACTATTTTAGTTACTTAAATTTCAAGTATAATTTCTGTTTTATCACACTTTCATCTGATTGATTAGTGTAAAGGAGAAAGTCTACAACTTACAGTTCTTATGAAAAAAGCATGATATTTAATGGCTGTGCAATGCAACGATGCCAGTGGACAAGAAAATAATGTGATTTGCAAATTACTAATTTGTAAAGCAAGTTACACATATGTTAAGTAGTTTTACTCTAAGTTCTATGCAATAGATCTTATCTATACAATTTTATACAAAAGCAATTACCATTCTAGGTTTTACTTTTTACTGACTGCAAAATGTTTGGTCAGTAAACTTATCTAATCTAAATATTCCAAAACACAAAACCTATTTAAAAAACATTATGAAATTCAGTGTACAGTACACATGATATACATACATGTAGGAAAAATGTTTGAGAATCTCCCATTTGCCACTTGTAATCAATTTTCAATTGATGGGATCTCCTTGATCGCAATAAATAGATTTCCATAAATTAATTTAATCTTTTAATCGACTTATTCTATATTGTTTTTAGATTAGAAAATTCGCAATGAACAAAATCTGCTTGAGTAAATTATTGTTGTTTCCTGCTCTGTTGTAAACATGACTATTTTCAAAACTGTGAACACCATTTTCTTCCTTGAATGAGCAGCAAGCAAATTGCCTATATTTTTAGCATTTGCTTAGGCTAACAGTTTTGGTGGCGATACCGAAAGAGGAAAAATGGAAATAATGCAAAATTCCTGATGCTACACCTTGCAGTAACTTTCAGAAGCTCTAGGATCTGTCTCTTAGCCTTTGTAAATTGCCATTACATAGCTCTCTCGCACATTCCTCCCTTTGTAGCCACTAGAAATATCTAAATCCCCGAGGGAGCTACAGCGCTTCATCTGTAACATGATAGACTCAACAGACCTGCCAGAGCCACGGGGTTTCTCTCGCAGTTTACTCTCCAGCTTTGAACCATTCAGAACATTCACGTACATCTTGTATCTTTTATACTAAGGAGATAAAATTAATGAGTAAATTACGTGAATTTTAATGCATCAGAATCTTCTTAGAATTAAAAGAAATACACATGTATTCTTGATTCAGGAACTAACCTCATACTCCAAGAACTCATGTTTTTCTTGCCACTCCTAAAAACAAAGAAGAGTTTATAAAGTAAGTGAAAGAAACTTTTTCTGGTAGCAAACCTCTGAACCTATACATTGCTATTTTAATAATATTATTATACCATGTTTGAAATACCCTAGACTGAAGACTAGGATAAATGAGGGAAATAGTAAGAAGTGTTCAAATTCTCAGCTGCTCTTTACTACAGTATCAACCACTCTTCACAAATTTGAACATGCTCCACACATTTTTCTTGAGGGTTGCTGCATTTGGCCCATGCTCATGCTAAGAATTGAAGAAAACTCTCCTGCTACTGTCACTTGGCCCTGACTGGGCCAGACTTTACATTCAATTACCTGAAGCTTCCTGCCTTCATGAAAAATCATCTTAAATTCAACACTTTAAGTGCCATGACCAGTCTTAATTCTCCTTACTCTCTGCTTGCATAATTCTTGGCAGAATTTGGTTCCTAGTCAACACATCTTTCCCGAGATGACAGCATGTTTATTTTCCTAACCTCAATGTCAAAACCTTCACAAGATTTGTTGTAGACATACAGTACTAGTAGTTCAGTTACCAGGTAATCAGCTTAATGGCAAGTACCTCAAGTTCTCTTGCTGAGCCATTCTTTGGTTTACTTTGTAAACTTTGGATCAGTTGCTCTTCTGCTTCTGTACTCTGAAATATGTGACAGATTATTGGGTGTTCAATGTCTTGATCGATGCTGAGCATATTGTGGCTATACTGACTTTCTGGAGCAGTACTTTTACTCACAAAAAATGTAAACTTGGAAAATTGGAAGACTTGTGTTTTAATGTCATATTTTATAACCACTCTAAGATACCAATATTTCACTAAGAATAGGGTTCACTCACCTTTTTTTCATGATGTTCCACCTGCTTGGCCTGTTGAATTAAAAATAACTGTTTGTCAAAATCTTAGTTTATTAATAATTAGTAACTTGTCTTGACTTTTCAATAGTACACAGTTTTGAAATGATTACTCGATTCTGACTGGCTAAGAGCAGTACGGTCAAGGGTAACACCAGTGCAGACTACAACAAAGATACCTGAAGTTAGTAAAAAGACACCCACAAAGACAAGTAGGAGTTTGTCACAGGGTTTTTCCTATATAAAAGTTCCTCAGTGGGTCGTCTGGGGTATATTTTCATCCAAAAGGACCTTCCATACGTGAAACAGCTCTCATACACTTTAAATTTGGATACAGCTTTAAGTTAAGGATGTCTGACTCTCAGAGGTTCAAAATGTTCCAATATTTCACAACTGAACAGGAAATGAAGGTAACTTACAAGTGACAACTGAGTGCGGGAAAATGGAAGAACTGGACGCTGAAACTTTTTGCTACAAAAGAAATACGAGACGAAAACAAGTTACATTATTTACTGGGCTGTTACAGATTCATAACATTAATACAGTTAGATGCTTCTCCTAAGAAAGGATGCTCTTTTCTCCTCTTACATGTCTTCTCTCATGAAAGCTATGACATGATCCCGCTTTCAAAGTCTCTGATTGCAGAACCCTTAAAATTTCTGTAGACAATATGTCTGTGAGAAACTTTTTTCAAATTTGCTATTGTCAAGCAGTCAAGGATAAGTTGGTTGAAGGTTTGATCACAGAATGTATAAGTCAGGTTATTATACCATGAACCAACAGGTGCTGGTAAGGGGGGAGCTGAGTATGTGGCAGCTACAAGATTAATGGCCTCAATCCACTCATTCATATCATGATGGTTCCTACAGGAAAGAAAGAAAGAAAGAAAAGACAGTTGTAGTAAATAAACTTGCAAAGAGCAACCACTCGGTAGAGGATAATATTATTGCCAATTGTGAGCATGCAATGTGTACTCAGATAGATTAATACCAGTTCTTATCAGGACAGTATTTACATGCTAGAGCTGAAAAGGACTGAAAACTGTCACTATCCACCTGAACCTGCACATAGCATACAGTATAGGAAAACAATATTTCTTGTTGCACTCTCCATTTCATCCTATAGGGAATACTGCAATCTTAAAGAAACATAATTTTTTTGAGGTGTAATTAAGACGCAGCAAAACAGACGTTCATGAATTGGGTTACTGTAGCACCACATCATTATTATATTGGTAAGTTAAATGTGGCTCAAATCTCAAAGCCATGTTTCCCTGATCTTGTGGTACACAGTTCTTCACTGAGAGACAAGTGCGACAGGTATCAGGGTTGACTTGTGTGATGTTGCCACTGTTGGCCCCTCAATTGTATGTTCAGTTATCTTCTGCCATCAGTTTAATTCGAAGAGTTACCACTTTAATTAATTTTTCGGTGTTAAGCCAGTAGATTAGAAAGGTTGTTACAGTTTGTATGCACTAGTACTACATACTTTGCTTGAAAAAGGAACTCTCTCCAGTCTGACGTGACAAATCTAAAAACACAGGGCCGTTTGATGTAATCTGTAGCTCGACTGGCCAAGGAGTGGTGTACACCTAAACAGTTCCTTGTGTGTTCTGGGCTGGTGATTTCATCTGACTGCGAATGAACAAAATTGTACATGTTCTTTTACATTGTAAACAACAGAACCAGAGCTCCAAACATTGAAAAGTTCATGAATTCTGCACTTACCTTTTGGAGGAACAGTATCATTCCTTTGAGAGTTGCAAAAAATGGCATCCATTTTCTTTTCCAAGCTGACGCTAAAAGACAGATAAAGACGTTTATTGAATGAAGCTAGATGCAGAAATAGCAAGATATTTGGTCCATTTCGACAGTACATTGCAGTGCCTTAAATTAGACTTAGTCAAAGGTAAGGTTTGGCATTGTGTCTAGATACACGTGTACACTGAATTGGTTCTTTCTGTATATTTCTATACTTGTGGTTGGTTAGCAGGTTTTCCTATGAGGTGTCTAACCTTCATTCAGGATATTCCTGATTTATATGTCCTGAAACTTTAATTGACCATGAATAACATACTAACAAAAAAAAGGCACAATTATCATCTTGATTAACAAGAACATTTGCTGGCATATTAGGTATAACTCACTTTTCTTTCCTTCTAACCCCATGGTGACCTTTCTGTACAGTAAGCCTTCTTTGTACACTTTGTCACTATCACTAGCTTGAATCTAAGGCAAAAGAAGCACAAAACATTTCAAAACTCTACTGGTATAAAAATGATAGCTGTTACAGTACACATAAGTGCTGTAATGCTTATTTCAAAATTGATCAAATTGTTTTTAATAGCTGGGAGGCTTTTTAAACTTAAATAATCACTAATTACTAACATTTTCAGAATTGTAATAATTTATGGTGCTTTCAATGAGGCCAGGCACCCGCCACAGCTCCAGTGGGTTAATTCTGTTGTGAATCACCAGCTATAATGTTAACTGCATGTTTTCAGAAACTGACTCTTTAGAAGAATTTGTTACGAGCCTCTCTCATCGGTCTCTGATGAGTACTGTGCCAGGAGAGCCACCTAATTCCATTGTTATTGACAGCACTGCACTGAATATGGTACGTGTGAAGCCACTCAGGGGCAATTACCAAAATGTGCCAGCCATTATAGTGAAGTGGCTGCTATGGAGAGGTTCCAATACATGTGCATGTAAGAGTAAAATGTAACAATTGACACAAGGTCAGGACAAACAAAAATCTGGCCATGGTGTCAAGGTGACCTTTACAAAGAGAGACAGCCATAAGTGGAGGTTCCACAGTGTTCTTCTCACAGCATACTGTTTACGCAAGAGGCAAAAGTTTTTCTATTCAGTTGTTACATGGGCAATACTGACCTCTATAAATGGATTTACATGACTTCCCTACAAAATAAAACACCAATTGCATGATTAGAGAAAGAATAAATGAGGATACAGTAACAGAGCTTTTGACATTAAAACTAAAAGACAGAGGAAGATTGATGGCCACTTGAGACTTAATACACTGTATGTACATGTAAAATACCCTGACAAGGGTCACTTTCCCCCTCAAGAGACAAGGCTAATGCTCAATCTGTCAGCTTCCCACAGCACTCAATTTTACCTTCTAGTTTAACAAATCAACTATTTTGATCATTAACTAAGTTTTTCAGCCACTGGCTAACACAAAGAGAAACCAACAATTCCTTGAAATCTCACTGCAAAAGAGTCATCTACATGTAATGATCAGTCACTATGCTGATAGTCAATGTCAAGCACACTATAGTGAAAGAAATGGTAACTTGAACAGCGGGTTAGTGAGGGTTACTTTAAATTGCTTCAGGATAACTACAAAAAGGTATTTTCCTTACCTTCATGCCATTAGATGTGACGAGAGTCTTTTTGGATGGAGTTGGTGTTGGTGTCCTCTCTGCAAAACTTAAAAAACAAAATAAAGCATGCATGGTGACTGTTTTGTGGTTGAGCTACTGTAAGTTCTATCAGCATTGGTATGCAGTGGCTGGAGGGTTTCCACATAATGGCAAGGTTCCTTGTTTCTCCGATGTGTTCCAAAAGAAGATTTCAAAACATTTCTGGATACTTCACATACAATGTAATTCAGTTGACATCATGATGATAAGAAGTTTATTGGTACCTACCCAAAGCCCTCCAGTGGTTTTGATTTGATTTCCTGGTATATTGCCTGGAAAGGAAATAATGGGTTAGAATTCATTACTCCAGTGATCAGAACGTTCCTGAAGTAATTTGGATTTAAATTTGCTACTTTGGGATAATTGCAACTTTCAGGAAAACCACACCTCTTGGTATATAGTTAAAATGTGTAGAACCAGAGGGCTGAAGCAGGTTAATAACACAACGTCAACTTTTGACAAAGTTAGCACAGAAAGTACATGTACAGCTGACAACATTAGTACGGAAAGCATGTGCACTAAGAAAAAAAAAAATACCAGAGGCCCCTCCTGAAGCAAGCAGCATTTGGTGATAATTGTGATTTAACCTGTAAATGTCAGTAGCATTTTTTTCCAACATTATGATATTATCTAAGATCCTTGTGTATCTTGTGATATGATATACAATTACCTTGAGTAAATCTTTAGGAAAGTCCTTTCCATCACACAATTCTGCCAAATTCTCTATGAACTGTGGCTGGGTCATCTTTTTATGCATGTTCTGCAGCAACAAAAGAAATCTTGATTGGAAAAGGAAATCACACAGACAAAATACATTTCCGTTTTCCATGACTTCCACTTCAGACAGTTAACTTGATTTTTTTTTCTCACAAAACTTACCTCACCATGGAGATCAGAGTTAAGCAAAAGGATAGCACACACCAAAGTATGAGTTGCATCTGAAGATAAATAAATAAAACTATAATATGAGTTCTACAATTATTATCTATCCCTCTTTTGAAAGAATTGTACGTGCACCAACATGGAAATGTAAGTCAAGACAGCAAACTCACAAGCAGAGAGTAACGCCACCATGGCAACCTGGGAAAAGCGCGTGGAATGAATTCTGGCATATTGTACAAGGTGTACATCCCATGAATGAATGAGGAAGGGAGAGAATTTAAACAGGCAAGTGAAATAGAAAACCAATCCAAAGCAAAAAGCACCTGGCAAAGCTCATGGAGACTCCATACATCATTTAATGATACTGAACCAAGCATTGGCTGCTTGATTTTTTTTTAACTTTCCCTAAATTTCATTTAGACCCATTACATTCTAACTCTTTCACATAGCCACTTATTAAATCATTCTTAAGCCATTCAACTGTCTTTGTCGGTATATAAACATTTCTAAATAATCTCAACTGGTTCTGACAATTTTGTGGGCCATTGCTGTCAGGATTATGTGATCATATTGAATGCAAACTTGTGCAATTAGGATTTACACTATGAATGAGGCAAGTGCAATTTGAGAGGATTTTGAAATATCACTTGTAGTGTAGATCCTTAATTGACTGAACTTTTGCATAATTGCTTATTTATTATATGACCAAGAAAATTATGGATGAATCTGTATTAATTCACACTGCAGTGTTCTCAGTTATATATTAATTAATATTGTAAGTTTAGAGGAAAGTAACATATGATTTATGTTAATCATTCATTAGACAATCAGTCCTCTACCTTCTGAGCCATACTCAGGATTGTTACATTCTTGATATCTTTTCGAAAACGGAATTAAAATTCTTTCTCTCTCCTGTGTTTCTCCACTTAAGTGGAAGGCCTTAAGGAACTTCTGTAGTGCTTGTGTGAGGCTTTCATTGTGAAAATCAAAGAACTTTAGGTATTCAGTGGCCACTGACTTTCCATAAGTTGTACTGAAATTGAAAATATAAAATTAATAATTTAAAAAGATGTCCTTCTTGGAAAGGTGGTTTTAACAAAATCTAAAGAAAATGTACAATTTAAAACATAGGTTTGAAGAACGTGACTTGAACAGGAAGTATTGACTAATTGCCTGCCTGCCCAATTGATTGACCAACTGACTGATTCCCTGACTAACTGCCTGACCAACTGACAACCTACTGACTGACTGCCCGACTGGCTGCCCGCCTGCCTGCCTACCCACCTATCTGAGGACCTACTGACTGACTGACCGACTGATGACTGACTGACTGACCTACTAATTGACTGACTGACTGATTAACTGTTCAGTCAGCCAACAAAATCTTTTAGTCAAGTTCAAACACAAATATGGAATTTGTTAATTATAAAACTCTTCTTCAACTTAAAAGAAAAATGGTACTTACTTTTTACAGAGCTCTGCTGCAACCTCTTCCCTACCAAATCCATCCAAGTTAAACAATCTTTTTGCTAAGGAAGATGGAGCCTCATAATGTAAGTCCTTGTATTCTTGCCCAGCAGAATCAGGAGGTAATCCCTCAAATGTTCTATCAACTTGTTCAGTTTTTACTCCTCCATTTAAAATTGCACTACCTTCTGTGGAAGGAGGGGATAGAAGTTCATCATTGCCATGTGTCTGGTCAAGTTTAGAATTTAAATTTCCATTAAGTTTGGTTGGTGATCGAGATGTATGTTTAGAAGGCAGTGCAAAAGGAGAGGGTTCTAATTTTCTATGATCAGAGTAAGGAGTCCCAGGAAGGCTGCTTCCACCAGAAGAATATTTCCTAACATGTCCGCACTTTCTACATGTTAAATACTCCGTGGCAGACGATTCAGCTGAAGATTTGCAGTCTATGTCATTCGTAGAATCAATGGGTTGCCCACAGTTAATGCAGCTCTTTGGTAAAGACTCCCTACTAGTTCTGCGTCCCTCGTTGGGATAACTCTTCCTTTTATAACTTTCCGGTCTTGCAATTTTATCAGTCCTGCTTGAAGGATTATTGTTATGCACAGGAAAGTCTGTGATCACCCTTTCTACAATATGGTCATCCCTTCTTCTCGCAAAAATGCCATCAACACCCTCCTCTAATCCTATCAAACTCATGCGACCCACAGCTCTGACGTCATCTGTGCTTGTGCTTGTTGCCTTGTGCATGTTTCTCTCTTCTTTCTTCTTGAAGTTTTTCCTGGGAAGTTGATCGGTAAGAGCACGATTGCGTGGATTATTTGGTGCTGAAGCAGATCTTTTGAGTCTTGCTTGACAGATTGCTAGTTTAGGATCAGCCACTGCAAAGGGTCGGAGATAAGGTAGAGCACGTTCCCTGGTTCCAGGGTCTGCAAGAGAAAACAGTCAGGAAAAAGGCAGATTAATTATTATAATATATATTTAATACCTATTTGTCACTCCACGCAGTTTGAGAACACTACACATTCGCTAGCCAACAATCCCTGAAGTTATTAATTAAAATGTCTCAAAACTTGGCTACTAGACTATAATTAGTTTGAGAGGTTATGAATAGATATAACCACTATTTTCAAAAATCAATGTGACTCAGAAGTGAAGCATGATTGAAGTTGATGAAAAAAAACCATAAACACATCTACCAACCCAAAACTGAAAAGAGACAGAAACTGCAAATATAGCTATTTAAATTAAGACAGTAATATCAACTGAAGTGATTAATTTTACATCACTTCAGAAATAACCACCAAAATTAAAGTAGCCTGGCAACAAAGTGGACGAGCTTCCCTTTATACCATCGTTTCCTGAGCTACTTCTGGAAGGAGATCAACATTTGTAATTTCTCCAACAATGCCCATATGTTGTGAAGAAGCAGACAGAAGATGAGAATAAAGAAAGTTGAGTCCTAGGGGATATTGCTTTTATGTACCATCACATTCACGTGTAGCAATGAGCACATTTACATGACTGTATTTATTTAAGACATTTATGAAAATTGTGATTTTGTAAAATACTGACATCAAGTATCAAATCGGGTTGATTAACCACCTGCAAGTATGTACATGAACCAGTCAGGTAATTTAAATACAGCTGCTAGTATGTAAAATAATATTTCTACTTCTTTGCCACTTGTAGATTGTGTATACAGCCATCCAAACACAAGGTTAAAAATATTGCACAGACAGACAGATAAAAATCAAATTAGCATAGATTTCAAGTGAAATGATCTCTGCCAGCATTATACAACATTCTCAACACTTTGCCTGAACTTCCAGTTCACTTGAAATGACATCATGATGTCCTTTTAAAACAAAATTTTATGCATGAAAACTCCATTTAATATCGATAACTACAAGAACTGAAAATAAAATGAAACACAAAAAGGAAGAAACCAGATGTAACCAGTGCATTTGCGATTATTGATTTTTATTTTACAGTTCAGTATTACTGTATATAATTATACCAGTTCTGTAGATTTCTCAGCTTGATGTTAGTGTTAGCAGAATGTCTCAGGATGCATGTATCGCATAAAATGTAAATTGCTCTAAATTGTTACAATCAACACATATAATAAAAAGCATTAAGCTACAGGCACAAATTGCACAGAGCACATTTATTTACCATTTTGTTCTTAGTTACCAAGGTGTTTGAAAATGAAAATATAAGAAAAATTATATGTATTTAACTTTATTTTAAAATGTCATCAGGTTAAAGCTTTCATAATAGTTTCAACTAACAGTAAATGACAGGTTAGTGTCAAAGTATAATTTATTCTCTTGCTGTGAAATATTGTGTTTCATAACTATAAGCACTGCATTTTCAGACACAGCAAGAGAGTTGGCTAAAAGCCACGCACTGTATTACCAGAATATTGCTTAGAACTTCAGAACCAGGCTATGATAAATCAGCAACACCACAACACAATTATTCACAGACTCATGCAATGTTAACTGCCTTCAAACACTCGATCCATGCATGGCTAGCTTAGAGCATCATAACAATAATTTTAATCTTAATCTTACGAAGTCGACTCCTTAGTAAAAGAATATCAATAAAATAGCATGTCATGTCAACCAAGAGAGCTTCTGTTGATTAGGGATACATGTATAAATCACAAGAATGATAAGGGAAGTGTAAGAGGGAAGAATCAATAAAAAAACATTCTGTCCATTGACTTTCAAAGAGTTAAATCACAACTACATACATATAGATATTCCCTTACCTAAAGTGGATGCATCTAATTCAATATCTTTAAGGTTCAAGCTTTAAATTTATAGTTGAAGAATGTCCAAGCTGACCACAAATGCTGAGCCAGGATCTCCAATAACACGCCATTACAGAACAAACACAGATTTGGCAAATGACAGAGTCAAATGAGGCAAATATCAATAAAAATGGCGTTAATTGTGACACTGCAATTCTGATCTACTAAATATTGGCACTCAACCAAAATACACTGTATATTAATACTGAGAAACTTATTAGCTACACTGGTGAAGCACACTTGAGTATAAAATTATCCAACATATGCTAATGTCAAAGAAGGATTACTCAATGAAAATTACCAGTTTGAAAATGAAAACCTAGCTGAAACACGTCAGTCAGTCCTTTGCCTTTCTAAGAGCAGGCACCAATTAACAAGAGTTAACATCTAATCAGAAGAGGCAACATACAGTAGTACAGTCATATAGTTATAAATCTTGATAATTTGACTAAGGTTGCCTCATATGAAGATTGATACAAACTTAACCAACCTTGTCATGTTTCAGTCAGCCACGGCAGCAAGCACATAACCACCATTCAAGTGTGCAATATTATAACTAGATTCAAGTTTCACATTCTCAAAGGTCATGACATTCAAGGAAGACTCACACAGGAAGTCGTTGTGGCAAACATTCGTGTACCAGGTTTCAGCTTTGGAGCTGACTAGAACCAATTCTTGTGCACAGCAATGAATTAAACAATTGAATTTATAATTCACAATGTTTTGGCAGCTTAAGACACAACATCATGACATCATTATATTGAGGAGGTAGGATGCCTTTGTTATTTTTGACACAAAATAAAACAAAGAACAGGAAGTTTATAACTTAACTTCACTTATGAATAGAATAGAATTTTAAGTCAAAAGTTTTTTCTCTGGGAAACAGAGGAATGTCTTGATACACCTCTGTGACCCATTTTCTGATAACCATTTCTCAAAAAAATAATATTATAAATCATTGTGAGATACTAAATTTGAAAAAGCTGTTCATACAAGTCATGTATACAGTATGTGTTGTGATACATGTACATAACAGAATTACAACTTTATCACAGGAAAAAGCTTGAGGGCTGAAACTCAAAATTATTGAAGAATGATATGATCGCACTAGATAACTTCCTGTTGCCTTAAAAGAACAGCCCAGAACAGCCTACAAATTTTTTTTTGGTCACAAACGTCCCCTTGATTAGAGAACTCTCAATTAACAACAACAACATTGTTTAAGGGCACGCTTCATTCGACATAACTGTAATGAAATGTTGTGTGGTTCCAGAAAACATCCATACCTTCACCCCAGGAGGATTAGTAGAAATTCCAGGGGGAAAGGGGATCTTAAAAACCTGGAATTTCCTGAGGGTTGGGAATTTCCTGAGGGTTGGGGTTTCAAACCAACAACCCTTCTGTGGGAGGAGTATGGATCATTAATGTTTCCAGCAGGAGGGTATCTGGTTTTCACAGGTAGGCAAAACAATTTGATCTGATCTTTATGAGAAATGCTTTTCACTAGGTGGTCAAACCAGCTGGGCAAAATTGTCCTCACAGCCAGTCAGTTTGCCCCGTGCGCAGTCCTTAATGAAACCCCCTGGTATGAATACTTTCTGGAAATACAAAGCTACACTTATTTTAAGTTAAAACTGAAACAGCGGCATTAACTATTATCACAAAAATGCATTACTGTGTTGCCTACATGAAGGTTAAATTCCTAACAGTTACTAAGACATAAATTTTATTTTTTTAAGGAAATGATGACTTAGAAAAATTCCAAACAACATACAGTTGTACTGTACATGGTATTAAAATGTGAACTATACAAAGACTGTGTGCTGGAAAATCTCTCATCCCAATTTATCAGGTAAGGAGAAATAAGCGGGTGTACCACCAGTAATTCACAAGAGCTGAACATTCTGCTTATCAAATCAGCTAGCGGCCAGAGGATGTTTCAAGTACTATACATGTAATATGTGGTACTTTTTGCACAGATCCCTTAAGGCTAATAATTCCGTAACTATTTCTAATCCGTAAAGCCTTAAATGTGAACTTCTTAAATATTTTATAGATTCTTGATGATATTGCTATAGTTGAACATCAAAAGTCTGGGATAATTAACTGTTTTAAGTTGTTATCCACATTAGTCCAGTCAATAGAAGGATAAACAAGTTTGTCAGAAATACCATTATTTTCTCATAAGAGTCATATAATATAGTTCTATGGCCAAGGGAGTCAAAATATCTCAAGACATCTCATGCATTGTACATGTACATTATAACGCATCAGGGATCCATTTGGTTTATTTCTCCAAGTTGTCAGCCGGGCAAGTATGCCAGATGACATACCGTAAATCCTCCAATTAGCACCTCCCCTCGAATAAGCATCCCCTTTGAATAAGCGCCCCTTCTATCAGCCGAAATTTAAAATAAGCACCCCCTTCTCTCCCCCCATTTTGTGGATGAGTAGTGAGACAACAAAGGATGTTTATTTTTCGTCATGTAGTATTAGATTTATACATTGTTTCAGTTTGTGAACACATTAAGTGTACACGTTGAACATGTTAAGTACTAACGGTGCCGCGATTTAAACTTTGGGATCAGCTTTTTATGTTGATACACAGCTTGTGTTGTTGTTTACGCACAGATGACATATTAAAACTAGCAAGACAATCTCAGATAGTGCAGAGTGCAATTTACGGCTCTGATACAGTAGTCACATAGGTCCTTACCCATGCTGTTCTCTCCCTTGGTAGTCAACTAGGCCTTTTCCCCTTGCAGAATATGAGCAGAAAACTTAATAAGACATTATCTTAGCATTGAGTAAGTTTCACGTTTGTATTTTCTTTCAAGGCCCAAAAATAACTTACAATTACTGTTTGTCAAGACGGCTTTGAATTTTATTGTGATGTTTTATGCTGAGTTTCAGTCATTTTAAATTCAATAATATGCAGAAGTGGCAAATATGACAATTTTATTTTTCACTCCAACATATGTAACTTGATACTTTTGTTTTCCTTGCCGAGCTATGCAACATGATACCCTTGTTTCCTCAAAAATATAAGAAAGATGTGTATTTTTTTACTTACTGCTGGGGATAAATGGAATAAAGCTAAATATATAC